ACATGAATATGTCCAGGATTACACCATCTGTTGTTGACAAGCAGAGCAAGCCCCCCTCCTTTCTTCTTACCGCTCTCGGTGTTTCTGTCCGCCCGCACCGTCTGAAAGCCGCCGATGGTAACGTTCAAGTCCGGAATAAGTTCCTGCAGCCAAATCTCGGTGAAACACATGATACTGCACACAAACACACAAACAATTGTAGTTCTTTTTATCAATATTGAACACATCGTTTAAATCTTTCTGTCAATTTTTCATGTCTGTAATGGGCTTCCCTGTGGTTAGTGCATTGCTGTATTTATCCTGACTTGCCTTAGGCCCAACTTTGTCCTTTGTTCCATCCTGTAGGATGACAAGCTGACATACTGTCATGACCTCACTGGGAATGGTCCAGTCACTGTAAAAAAATAGTGTTCTAATATAGCTGACTTAATGATTTAACAGTGAATTAGTTTAACCTGAGTTACGTACAGTATTTGACTTGCTTCAAGGACAAGGACAGTTATGTAAACACTCTACAGTGCTATTATTAACCAATATCTCCAACATCAAACTGTACTGACTTGGAGTCTGTGATTATTGCTGTGATATTATTCAACAGCTTACTGCAATGACCTGTTCTGTTTGTATAAGCTGGTAATGTAAGGGCAAGTCCATAAAAGCGTTATAGAATCTTGTGTTAAAGATGGGTTAGGTTTAGAAAAATTAAGCTTTCCCTGTGAACAGTCTTCACCACTTTACTTTTCCTGAACTTTTTTCTCTGCATTTTTTAATCTTAATCCAGATGGTCTCTTTTTTTTCTTGTTTCTTTTTTCTTTCTCTACACTGGGACATTGCAGAGGACAGATGATTAAACCCATGTGAAACATTAAAATGTCCCTCAAAGCAGTGAAAACATATTTTTTCGTAGAACCTAGGATATTAATAATAGATTAACATTCTAAATTGAACTCTTCTTTCTTTACATAGCTCATAGTTTGCTATCTATCCTGAAGCCCTAGCAGCAATTAAAACACCTGTTCCAGTAAGCTAGTCTTAAATGTTATTAATTTTATTTTCTCTGCAGTAGCCTTGCATTGTAGTATTTTCAGCAACATCCCTTTTTAGTTTTCAGACATGAGTTCTTCACATCACTAATCAGTCGTCACTGTGACAAGTATATAATAGCAACTGTTCACTTCTCCTACTCAAGATGATAAGTCCACTATACGGGAAGAAAAGGTGAGAGGGGTGGTGTTTCAGATCATATTATTTGGAGGATCCTGCCTTTCTTTTGCAACTTGGTCAAGATATTTTATCATAGGAAGTGTAAAAAAAGGCCAGTCCACCACTGATCATAATACTCTCTATGGCTCACTAATGGCAAATTTCTAAAACCTCAGAGGTGCACAGGACAGTAACAGATAGGAGGAAGACAGTTATTTATCTGGCTGTGAGATGCTTGTTGTCCCATCACTTCTCATCTGCCTCTTTTTTGCAGTGTCAGAACAGCTCAGTATCTATTAACATTGTTGGCCAGATCATTGCATGAATCCTTAAACAAGCCCGTCTTAAAATATCATCCTTGTTGTCGAAACATCTGTTGCACCAGATCACATATCCGCCACCAAAGCACACAAAGGGATCGGGGACTTAAGATGTATAGTGCCTTTATGATGTCTGCTCTTGAAGTGTGTTTCAGTTTCTGCCTCAGAGCCTTTGCTTTTGTTATGTACTGTTTCTAGAGTTGAAATGTGAATGTAAGAAGTGGTTACATTCCAGTTTTGAAAACAGATTTGTAAATGCTGATCATTAATCAACTGTGTCCATCGCAACACCTGTGGCTTTAACACAGGTGATACAAGGGCCATTGTCAGGATGCATACAAAGGTTGCTGGCCTATTCATAGTGATCTTTATAAAGGTGGATTTTTAGCAGCCTCTGAGATACTGTATATAGGCTATATTCATTTCTATTAAAGTATGGAGAATTTAATCTTGATTGACTTGTTAATGCCACCATGATTACTATGCATAGCATTGGCTGAACAAATTAGACTTTAAGGATTTGCCCTTTTTTAAGAGGTGAAATGTCCACTCACAGTGCATTTTCAGGGATGCTTGTTTTTAATTGGAGTCATTGTTTTCAAACCTGTTGGTAGGGAAATATGTGTGCATTAAGCTAACACTGGGATAGGGTTATACCCAGAAAAGTGCTGTTTCTAATATTTTTATGCCTTTCTCGTTTCTCCCAGAATCCACACTGGTGATCGGCCCTATAAATGCGCCCATCCTGGCTGTGAAAAAGCCTTCACTCAGCTCTCCAATCTACAGGTTAGTCCAGCATGTCCAGTCAAAGTAAGTTCAAAAACAAAAGAATGTGAAATTTTGTGGGCAGAGAGGTGGCTCTGTGGCTAAGGATCTGTGCCTGTGGCCGGAAGGTTGCCGGTTCAAATCCCACGACTTGCAGAGGAATCCTGCTCCGCTGGGCTCCTGAGCAAGGCCCTTAACCCCAGCTGCTCCAGGAGTCCATGCATCCTTGTTATTAAAATAAAGTGCTACATGATTCCACAGTTCTGTAATCCTTTGGTCTCCTGCTTTCATATTCTCTGACACAGTTTTGGTGACTAATTAATCAGGCTTGTACTGTTACAGGACAAATATTAATTAACAAAGAACAATCTATACAACCCACATCTTTATACACTATATAGTACACCAGTTACACTGTAACTATGTTCAAATCTGTGTGTTTCAGAGGCTTATGTACTCCAAACCTGGAAACCTAGAAACCCTAGAAAGAATTGATTTTAATCTGAAAGCACTATGCAACACCTAGACAGGCCAAAAAAGTCAACAACCCTACAGCTGTATAAAGGAATATGACTTAGAACTAAATCTTGCTTTCTACAGCATGGATGCCTAAATGTAATTAGGAATCAATCTCCCTTTTCTACAAATGCAGCACAATCTTTGAAAAGATGTTTAAGGTTTCCACAATATAGGAAATCAGAATTTCCTCAAATAAGATAACAAGCACTAAACTAAAATGCTCCAATTAATGAACCAGAATCTGGTTTTCGAGGACTGATCTGAACAAGGTCCTCTTGCATGGCACCAGCTTTGAGGAAGAGGAGGGTGATGACGATGCTCCTTCTTCTCTCACTGTCTTCATATCTTCCTTGTTCCTCCTTCTGTATTATGCTGCATCTTTGGCTGTTGAATTTTCACCTTTTTTTATGGCTAACCAGAGAAATCCTCCAGAAACCATCAGTGTTTACCTGCCTCTTAGCCAGCCTGCAGCTGGGCTAACACCTCGATTGATACCATTGTTTTAGACTTTCTGAGTAATGGCCTTGGGTGGTTCTATCAGGATATGTATTATAAATGTAACTAAACCATGATACAACTAGCTCATAACAAATAACATTACAATACTGTAAAATCATTCATTCTACCATTTATTATCAAATTACATCACTTTCAGAAACTGAATATCCAGTTCAGGGTCACAGTGTTCCAGGAAGGACTGGGTGAAAGGCGGGTTACAACCAGAACTCCAGTTCATTACAGACACTCACACTCACACCACAGCCCAGTAATCCACCAGCATGTCTTTGGACTCTGGGAGGAAACCCATGCAAACATGAGGAGAAAACACAAACACCATGCAGACAGCACCCCAGGAATTGAACCCAGGACCCCAGAGCCATCCATTATTTTTCCCAACAGTACTAACCAGGTTAGTGTCAACCAAGTATTCCATTACCTAATGGAAGGAAATCTGAGAGGCTGCGTAAGGTGGGAAAACTGTGCCTTTCCAAGCTCAAATCGAATTTTGTTAAGGAAAAAAAAATGCTGAGCTCAGTGGAAGAATTCCTAACAATTTCCATTGTTAGGGAAATAGCTAGAAAATCTTATGTAAATAAATGTAAAACATTAAATGCAGACAGCTCATGTTTAATCCTTTAATACCAATTAGGCTTTATACAGTAGTATTGAAAGAAGAAACAATTCTTCAGAAAGATGCATGTTTGCAAGTGTTCCTCAAATAAAATCCAGAAATAGTAAACATTCATGATTCAGCAGCATATTGTGTGGTATTGGTATTATTATTACTATTATCATCTAGTGATAAGTATTTTATGCAAATAAGGGGTAAGAGTGTTAGAACTGTCCAGTGATTCAGCCTAGAGTACACTTCAGCACTACAGATCCTTAGTTTTTCTGAAGAATTTGCTGCAAGCACTTATCTTCAGAGCCTGGTGGCATTCATCCAGAGTGACTTAAGAAAATAGTGGAAGACGTTATTTATAGACCATTAACAAGACACTATTAATCGGTCAGGATGTGGAAACAATCTGTTGACTAGGAGATTCCTGTATCACCCAACCAAGTTGTTATGGATTGATGTTACTTTTCTTGCAGTGTATTTATGGAGATGATAATTAAAACTGAACTAAAGGGTTGTCTGTATGATAATATTCTAGGAATATTCACCATGGATACAGGAAAGGTAGTGAAGGCATGGGGTTTAGGCTAGGCCACACAGAGACACCAGGGACAGCAGGGTGGCGTTGATCAGCTTTATTGCTGTGCTGGAAGACCACACTCTCCTTGTATGTTGAATGTTCCTGGCGAAATAAAGAATCCAATGCTTAAACATTATTCTGCATTGTAACTTCCATGTAAAAGGAATTCATTGAGGTTCATGTGTCTTAAGATGGGGCTCAAAAATAAACTGCCCAAACTAGCAGGTTCCTTCTCCAAGGTCACCCTAACTCCTCCATGAGCTCTGCTTTTCCCAGGTCTTTCCAAGAGCTCTGGCTTAGCAACCACAATAGTGGCCCCACTTCTTTCACCCTTATCTCCCAGCAAACCGTGAGCAGTCTCCCTCGCAGACCCGTCTCCCCCTCACCAGCCTCTCAGAACCCGTCTCTCACTTAGAGCCTGTCTGTCACTCCAAGCCTCGCGCACCTCCAGGAGCTTTTGCTTATTAGATTTCTTTAAACAAAGAGCAGCAGTAAAAGATGCAAACAGCAAATGGTGTTTCTCGATTTCCAGGAGGCTTTTGACCAATTTCCACATAAATAACCAAGTCTCAAATTGAAGGTTATAGGTATCCAAGGAGTTGCATGTATTTGCATTAAGATCTGCTTAATAAATAGGAAACAGTCAATGATTATATTTGCCTTCTGCACAATTTCTTTGATGTAGATGACTGAAATCTCTACACAGAGTATAGATAAGGGGTAAATACTCAGATAGGGGTGATAGGAGTACTGGAGGGATTAATATTAGGACAACAGTTGATATTATTAATGATGTAGATCCTGGTATAGTTAAACTAATTTGTGGAGAAAATGAAAATGGATAAAAACAAACTGTATGATCTGTAAAATGGCCAAATACATTCAAAAAGACTTAGACAAAGTTCACAATTGCTCAGCATGTTACATGCAGGTAGTAAATTTCTTTCAGTGAACTTTGTACTTTATGATGATTCTCATTCATGAACCTGGTGACTAGTATAGGATTCACTTACTCTGGCAGGCTGAGCATGTGGTATCCTGGTAGATGTCTGGTTATGCAACCTGGTTGCGCAATTCAGCCAATGGTGATCCAAACAGGCTGTGTGTGCCAGACATCCTCCTTTTATCTGTAAGCATTAGGTGTTTGTGTTACATCTGAGCGTATTGATCTCCCTGTAATGAAAGGCTCAGCTGCTCTCCAAAATACAAAGGTAGAAGAGAAATTTATCATTGTTTGCAAACAGGAAAGGAATCCTACCATTCTTACCAGCAGGGCGAGGATCCCAGCTGCATAATGACTTAGAAAGCAGTACAATTAAAACCTGATGCCAAAACTTGATACCTACAGTATAGGCTGTTAATTTCACCATCTTCAAAATGGCAAAGGATTTGTTCAAATGGATTTAAAAAGAAGGCAGTTTTTCTGTATTGCTTTGTGTCTCATTCCTCATATGCAAGCTGACCTTAGATAAGTTTGCCTCTAAAATAATGCTGAGGCCAGCCTTTCACTGATCTTCAAAGCAGACCTTGCTCTTGTCTCAACCCCACAGGACTAAAGGGTGTCTTTCTCCTTTTCTTAAAGCAGACATCACTCTCCTTGCAGGACTAAAGGGTGCCTTTCTTTCCTCAGGGGCAGCGCTGGATATGTGTTCAAGGTGTTCCAAGTCCTTAGAGTGGATCGACAAACTAGGGCCAAACTATTGTATTATCTGTAGACCACACAACAAAAATGCACAAATTAAAATGAAATGCCAATGCATTTGAAGATTTTAAATAAAGTACTACTTTTGTACTGATCTTTTTTAAAAGAAACTGGGAACCTATAATTACAAGGAAGAGGAGTTCATTTGGCAGACCTTGCTTATCAGGGTGTTGATAGCTTTGATGGATCGTGGATATAGTCTGTGTTTCTTAAAAGATCTCTTGGGGTCAGCTTCACCTCCATGTCTTCTGAAGGTGTAAAGATGCCTTGTCTGATTTCTGTTGCAATTGGCCCAAAAAGTAATTTTCCACTTGTGTCATTTGGTACTGGTGTCACTGCTGATGTTGAGAGAGCCCACAATGAGTTGTCGTGATCAGTGTCTCACAGGACCTTCAATAATTGAAATCCTCATAAAACTTAAAAACAAAATGTAGCCTGTATTCTCTTCCTTTGCCTTTGTATGCACGACAGCTTTGATTTTACTAACTGCACCAGAGCAACAAAGTAAAATAAAGCCTTGTTTTAACCGGGAGAAAATAAGCTAGGATCTATATTCAGGCTGATGTATGTGTTTTACCTGTTTGCGTTTTTTTATCATAGCACTATTAATTATGTAAAAGCTGTCTGGAAAAGATAATACAATAAAAATAAATTGTATTTATGCCTTGTCCCTGATTTACAAGGCTTACAAGGTATTCTTTCAATTGATACAAAGCTCATTCTTGCACTTCGTAGATCCTTGCTGTATTCAGGTCATTCACTCGCAGTACGCTGGAGACAGGAGTCTTGCAGAGTGACCAAGTTGCCTTAGAGGAAACCACATGAGAAGCCTACTTCTGAGAAGTCTGTATTTTTGTACTGGCAACTTTGTGATTTGCTAACGTTTTTCCTGTTCCCTCACAACGCGCGGATGTTTCAGGTGCGCCGGAAATGTCAGAAATAACAGCTTGACTCTTCCTGATTTTGTCTCACCAGTCACACCAGAGGCAGCACAACAAAGACAAGCCCTACAAGTGTCCAAACTGCTACCGCGCCTATTCCGACTCGGCCTCATTGCAGATCCATCTGTCCGCGCACGCTATCAAAAACGCCAAGGCCTACTGCTGCAGTATGTGCGGCCGGGCCTACACCTCAGTAAGTACAAGGCAACCCTCTAGCATTTTCCTTCTGACAATCAGGGTAACCTTGTTGGGAATGCCATAGTCAATTCCAGAGGTCCGCACTCACTAAACCATTCAGTGCCTTATATGTGAGCAGGATAACCTTAACATCCACTCTAACGTTCACAGGGAGTTAATGCATTATTCCAAAAATGGGAGTACTGTATATGCTGATTAGTTTTAGCTAATCTGCTTTAGAGAGTAATTTTAGTTAGTACATGAGCCACAAAATGTTGACATATCTAAGCCTATTTCACACTTTCCCATTAAGAAAGGTGTTACAGTAGTCTTGTCTTAATGAAATAAAGGCAGTATCTGAGAAATGTTCCCTGGAACCATGAAACAGCACTTTCTGAAATCAAAAACTTCAGCCTCCCTGTAGTCTCATGTAGGTTAAACTTTTAATTGTTCCAAATTGTTATTATGATAATAATAATAATTGCTTACACTTATATATCGCTTTTCTGGACACTCCACTCAAAGCGTAATGGGGCGGAGGTAATGGGGCGTAATTACAGGTAATGGGGATCCCCTCCACCACCACCAGTGTGCAGCCCCACCTGGATGATGCGACGGCAGCCATAGTGCGCCAGAACACTCACCACACACCAGCTCTCAGTGGGGAGGAGAACAGAGTGATGGAGCCAGTTCAGAGATGAGGATTATTAGAAGGCCATAATTGGTGAAGGCCAATAGGAAAATTGGGATGTGCCATTTAAGTTGTAGTTTTGTGCACTTCAGTAATCAGCAGTTGTATGATTTTAAATTGTATTTTGGACTGAAGCTTTTTTATTTCTTTAGTTGCCTTTAACGGAGCTTATTTCATGTAGTCAGAGTACCAAGCTCTGAGCCTTTGCTGGTCTGTGTGCCTTTCAGGAGACGTACCTTATGAAGCACATGTCCAAGCATACTGTGGTCGAGCACCTGGTGAACCACCATTCCCCTCAGAGGACAGAGTCCCCGAGCATCCCCATCCGGATCTCCCTCATCTGAGCGGCGCGGGACTCCCCCTCCTGGGGCTCCCTGTGCCGCCCCGCAAGGGCCTCCGTTCCGCCGCGGGCCGCCAGCCAGCTCCCCGTTGTGCTGTTCCTTGTCGTTTGTTTGGTTTTCGTTTGTCCCCAGTTTGGGTTCCAAAAAAAAAATGTGCCAGACTGTATTTTGTATTTTAACACAACAATTTTTTTTTTGGGGGGGGGGGTGAGGGGGCAGGTGCTAGTTAATTAGTTTGTGAAAGGGGATGGGAGGGGGGTGGGACATCCAAAGATGATTTTTAGAGCACTTTCAGGCCTTTACAGTATTGGCCAAAAAAAGTTTATAGTCTGTTAAGACAAAAAATGAAAAGGCATTGCTACAGGCAGCTAAGACTTTTGACCATAGGTATTAAAGGACCTCCTGTGTGCTTTTTTTAGATTTGGTTAGAACCAAATCTAGAAAATAAGTCTAAATGGTTAGAACTGGTTAATTGGGTAGCACTTCTTTCTACGGCGATCTTCTTCAAACTGAGTTGTGACCAGTCCTGAGATGATGGCAGGGGGCCCTAAATCTGATAATTGGTACGTCCCAGGTTTTGGTTTAATGAACCGTTTTTTTAGAAAGGTTATACCTAATGCACAGTGTTATGGGAATTGTTTTCTTTCTTACTTTATGAAGAAAGGAACGTTTAACATGGGAGTTTTCGGGAAAAATAGCACCATCCAGCTATGTCCCAGGTGAGTTTGGAGTTACATGGGCGTCTTTATGAGAGGAGTAATGGACAAAAATGTTTTGGGTTTTTTAAAAAAAACAAACAAACTGCAGCACACCCAAAGCAGGCCCAGAGAATGTCTGCACGGCTCTGCGGTAAGTAGTGATACAAGCTATGATATAGCTAAAATCGTCAACCGGGCAATACAGACAAAAGGCACATGCTTAAGGGATTGTTGTTGTATTCATGTTACCTAGGAAGTAAATATTGGACAAAAATAAAATACAGAATCACACCTCTACTGAACCAGTAGAAAAAGCATGGGCTGAAAAAACGATATCCTGAATCTTCAGTCTACATAAAAAGGACTTTAAGCCCTGATCGAACTTTAAATATAGCTCCTATATAATCTGGAACTAGTGTGGCACAGCTAGTGTACTTTATATTTTCAAAGAAAACAAGAATAGTACAGCTGCTGACATTTTCTGTCCCCACTCTCTCTAACTTGTATCTGCAGTCTTGGCCTCTGTGTTTGGCTCTTTACCAAGTAACCATCGCACATCACTCGGAAAGTGATGGACGCCCATTCGTGGATTATCTTTTAACCAGATAAATAAGAATAAGCTACATTCAAAAACAATATTATGGGTAGGAAATGGGGAGGGCTTGTTTTTACTGCATTCCAGTTTAATGTAACCTTTTAGTGAAAGGCGGCGTGCCTGGTTTCTTTGAAATGGAGGCATGCGGTTTTTAATATTGCAATCCCCATCTCGTGTGGTCGTGAATGCATGTGTTTGTGTGCGTGTGTGTTGAGAAAAGGTTTCTAGATGTAAAAAGGTGGGGTCCCTGTCACAAGTTTCGTGTAGGCTGCACTCCGCAGTGATGTCACTGCCCAGAGGCTGAGGATGCAGGTTTTTACTGGTGGGTTTTATGGTCATAACTGAAAAGGTACATCTAAAGATCAGCACTTCCTGTGAAAGCACTTCCTGTGTGGTGATTGGCACGCTTTCGGCAAACTTTCCAGGGCGGTCTTAATTCAGCGGCACCTGAGGCTTTCAGTTAGCCCTGGTCATAGTTTGACAGTAGCAAATGGATTTGCGAGGGAAAACTCTGGGTCCCAATTGTATATTATAACTGTTTGGTCTGGCAAAGGCATTGATTTAATCTTTGTTCGGAAATGGGATTCCTAAGCCTTGATTACTTGATCAGGACTGCAAGCTCTTGTATTCCATGGCTTTCCTCTTCAGTTCTTCATGGCTTTCCTTGAGTTTGGGCTGACCAGATTGGCAGTAGCGACCTGCTGTTTGGAGCCCATATACTTTGCTCAGATAGCGTCCACTTTTCACTTTACAGCCCTGGCTTGTGCAGCGTGGCGGTGTGCTGCAGTCCACAATATTTAACTGGGAATACTCATTCTTATTCTCAGTCAGAATTTCCCATTTCTTGGTTGAATGACAAAATGCCAGCATCCCCTGGGATGTGCAGGGCATGTGAGCAGGCTGTGCTGTCGGGGAGAACTGCATCACTCCTCCAGCTGATGCTAACTGAGCTGGGGGCACCGTGCGACCTGCATAGCTCACAAGCTGGTGTGACAATCATAGTGCCGGATTGGTGATTCCGTTGTGGCCGTATAAAAAGAAAATAATGGGGGGAAAAAAGTTATTTGCATTTATCTATCACGCTTTTTTTTTAGCTTTCAGTGCACAAAAAAGAGCATGTGTTTATTATCATTACAGCTTGGTCATGCATTTCTTATTCCAGTGTTGCTGGGGTGAATTGAAATCATACATGTCATTGGAACATAAAGTGTTATAGGGTTTTCATTTCAAGTGATTAAAGTAATTAAATATATATATATATGAAGGGACTGTTAGAAATTTGGACTTTTACATAAGGAAAAAAATGCCTCTATATTTTAGCTTTAGAAAAGGTCTGATGTTTGCAATCTCCATAATAACGTGTCTAAGAACTCTTAATTACACAGTATTATGTGTAATAAAGTTGAATTTTCTGTAATCATTTAAAAAGAATGGAAATCAGGAGGTTTTTTGGCACAAGGTTAGAGGACAAAGTCCACTGTAACTTTTGTGTTTTACAAGGCGGCCACAATGTAAATGCTCTGCGCTTGTTCTGCATTTTCAGAATCTGATGGGCATCCCCTGTATTGCATAAATGTGCTTGTTAGATTGTGAGCTCAGGCCAGAAGCCCCAGGAGTCTTGTTAGTGTACCAGATTTCAGCATGCACAGTATCTGAGAGGCAGCCCCACCTCCTGCACGTAATGGTTCCTTCCACTACATTTACTGACATTCCAGTTTAGTAACAATTATAATAATAATGAAAGAGCAACTGGAAAAAAAAAGAGAACAATCATTTAGGTGTTGCTTAAAAAGTGTAGCATTTTGAAATTGATTTTAATGTGCGGCTTTTAATGTGTGTTGTTCTAACTAATTTACCCCACAGAGTAAAATAATTATTTATATAGGTTATAATATATATTTTATATATAATCTGGCCATTTAATTGGTATAAAACCCTTAAGTACATAACTATGTATGCCAAGAAAAAACAGATCCCACCTTTTACCTACAAATCTTTGTTTTTTTTGAATGGAGTAAATCGGAATGTGTGAGTTTACATGATAAATATACCTTCGGCCCTTTTTTGTTTTAAATTGAAAAGAATTCTTGTTTTGGGTGTCTCATTAAATTCTGTATAGATATGTTTATGTATAAAAGACCTCCTGGTGTCTTGTAATCTTTTATTTTCTTCATGCCTAAAATATTAATAATTAACTGTTTTGTTATTTTTATACACATTTAAGCCTTAACTATATATTATCACTGTATGTTTATCACATTTTATTTCCATTTTTTCATATTGGTGTTGTTCGGTAACCAGTACTGTATCTACATACTTTTTTCTTAGCATGGAATATACTGTAAATAAACTATATAATACTTACTGTTAACCCATTTTCTATATTAAATGATTATATAGGTCTAGTTATTATTAAAAAATCCTTTGTCTTGCATTGTGGTACCTTATAAAAAGTTCACTCTAGCTGTGTAATACGCAGTTAAGACTTTGAAAAGAAAAATGGGATTTGTGTAAAAAGCAAAAAACATGAAAAACACTTTGTATCTTTTTGTTGTTCAATAAATGCAGACTCTGTAATAAATATGTCTAATGAGTTTTTTTTTCTTTCTGCAATAATGAACCATCAAACTCTTTCAAGTCTCTATGTGAGATTTTGCTGATAACGAGGAGTTCTTGTCAATTCCAGTAGAGCCAAAGAAATGGCCCATTGAGTCTGGTGGGCAGGAAAGTAGCTCCATACCACATGTTCTTAGTGTTGCTCATATGTGTGCCTCTATGCATTGATGAATGTAACAGCAGACCTGGCTAATGTGTCAATTCAGACAAGACGTTGGTGAAATAAATAAAAAATCAGAAAGTACAGCATGTTGTACTGAACATTACTGACAGGTAGCAGGTTTTCCAAACAATTTTGCCCCGGACATTTATGAACATCTACTGGAATTGCTCCATGTGCCATTAATCGATGTCACAGTGGATGGACCAGCTTTTCATTAGCAGTGTTATCTCATATTTTGTATTATTTAATACTTAGTGTGGTATGTATAAATAACATACAGATAGAACCATGGTCAGGACATTTCCAAGAACAGGAGGTACTTCTTTACTCAAAGGCTTGCAGGAGGATGGGAAAAGCTACTGTATGCAACCATTTTGTTGAAAATGATGCCCTGGCTTCTTTCAAAAAACATCTGGATGAGATGTTTGGTTCAGTTGCCAAATGACCAAGTGGGCTACATGGGCCAAATGGCCTGTTCTGGTTTGTGACCTTTCTTATGTTCTCCAGTTCAGTAACAATACTGTCACGCCCGACATCCCTCCCTAGAGGGCGCTCCACTGCTCTCATTATTCTTCGTGTCATTTAGCTCTCCAGGTGTACCCTTTCAGTGTTATTATTTAAAGACCAGCTCCTCCAGTCCTCGGGGCTCATCATTAGGGTAAGTTGTCGCGAGGCCCGCCTAGCACCAGGAAACCCTACGTCCGTCTCCTGAGGGCATAGGCCTCATCCCCGACACCTCCCGTTTCCTGAGCCCGGGGTCTGGAGGATCTCGCCCCGTCACCCTTGGACCTCCATGTTTCGTTTGTCCATGTGCTCCCCCCTCCTGGGGATTTTAACTTTGTCGCGTTCCAGGATGGATTTCCAGTTTATGGACTTTCGGACCATGCTTTGTCCTGCCCCCCGTTTGGATTTGGATGCCGTTTTGTCTTCCCCGTACACTGTCTCATGGACTGTCACTATTATTTTGTGCACTATTAAACCCCTGTGTGTTCCTTTTTACCATGCCTCCTGTTTTCTCCAGCTCTTACCGCATTGCATAGGGTCTTCTACAAGATCTGACACGGATTTCAGTCCGTGTCCGTTACAAATACACCCCAGGAGCTCTGTACCTACTGTACACTTGTATTTAATTTAGAATAACCACATTCCTTTGACACCTGAAGAAGGCTCCACGGCCGAAACGTTGTGTTCTCTTTCTTCTTTTTTTCAGCATGGAATAAACCTATTACTTGTTCCTTTGCAGCCTATGCATGCTGATGCAGCTACCCACCTGAACTACTACCACATTCCTTTGGTGCTTCCTTACCACCCTAACACACTTCCTATCCCCAGGACCTTTAACCAGAACTTTTCCATCCTACAGGATGATCCCTCCATTGGGGCCCTCTTTTCTGATCGCCCTATCATCTCATATCGCCGACCACCTAATCTGCGTAACCTCCTTGTTCACAGCTCCCTTGACAGCCCTCAACAACCATCCACACCAGGCACTTTCCCTTGCAACAGAGCTCGCTGTATCACCTGCAAGTACACAGCCACCACCACACTCATTCAAGGCCCCTCAGGACAATTCTGGATCACCCAGACAGCATCTTGTACCTCCAGCAACCTTATTTACTGTATCTCTTGCAGTAAATGCCCAGCCATCTACATTGGAGAAACAGGAAGGAGACTCGGAGACCGCTTCAGAGAACACGTCAGGGCTGTGAAGATTAAAGATCTCTCCAAGCCCATTGTTTCTCATTTCACCTCTGACGGCCACGACCACTCTAATCTCTCTGTCTGTGTTCTCAAAGACGGTTTTCCGAACTCATACATCAGAAAGACCACCGAAACTAAAATTATTCTGCAGCTAGGATCACACATTCTCCCTTCCCTTAACGACAGACTACTGTTCTTTTAAATTTTCTCCATTCATTGGAAGTTTCATTTCACACCTCTCTGCACCCATTCTGACTTCACACCTCTTGATTGGCCTCTCTTTCTGTCCCCTGCTCCCGCCTCTCACTCCTCCTCCCTCCCAACCTTTGTTCTCCCGCTACTTTACCTTTGCCTACTGCCCTGTCTCACTCACACCTGAAGAAGGCTCCACGGCCGAAACGTTGTGTTCACTTTCTTCTTTTTTTCAGCATGAAATAAACCTATTACTTGTTCCTTTGCAGCCTACGCATGCTGACGCAGCTACCCACCTGAACTTTAATTTAGAATGAAGGGAATGTCTTATCCTGCTCCATCCTTGGCAGGGTGAACTGACCCAATGTTTAGGCTGATCTCCAACATGTTGTTGTATTATTTTGGCTGCAGCTGTTAGACCTTTTGTAATAAAGGGGATTTAAGATTTAACCCCAGTCCGAAGTAGGAACACACTGTTTTGAGGTTGTGATGAGAGGTAGTGGTAAGCACAATTTTCTATCTCATGTGGGTGAGCTGTTCAGAAGAGCAAAAACTCACTGTCATTAGAAAGTGTTGGTAAGTTAATTATTTTAAGTGATTTTTAAATATAGAATTCTTTATCTTTCCTTAATGCATCCTAAAGAGCAGAAGATTCCTCTGTCTGCATGGGTTTACTCCATGTGCTCTGCCCAAGGCATGCTGGGAAGGTTTGATTGGTGTCTCTCTATTGACCCTGGTGTCCCATCCAGGGAGTAGTCCACTTTGTGCCCTGTGCTCCTGGGATATGTTTCAGGTTGCCACAGCCTTTGACAAACAATAAGATGTTTTCTTCTAATGGATGAGTGTACTATAGAAGCTGCAGACAAGCTCGGGCCATTGTGCCTGTTTGATTTCCAGTAGCTACACAGATCGTGTTCAGCCATTTCTTGGAACAGAGTGTCAGTTGGTTCTGCCCTTCTCAGTTTGGAACAGTTCTGGTTCTGAATAACTGCTTCTGGTTTTGTTGGTTTTACTTAAGACCCAAAATGATGTAAAACATCGGGCATTCGGAACCATGATAAAGTGTCACAAGAAAAATTTCAATGTGTTGAGAATGTATGACCAATGAAGGAAAGATGCGCTTGCTTCTTAATAATGTACAGTAAAATGTCCTGTGAGATAATTATATGAATGACAGCGAAAGTATTTTTGTTTTTTGCCAGCTATATGCATGTGCAGTAGTATGTTGACTGTAACACTGCCAGTCTCGAGTGTAAAAGAAGGCCTGATATTTTAATGTGTTGATATAGTACTGACTTGTTAAATTTGTTCTTAATCCTAAATCTGTTTAGTTTTTTTTTCAGGTGGATGTAGATACAGTGGATCAGGTTAACATACAGTCTTTTTAATTTGTACTTTTTCTAAATACATCATTATTGATGCATTCTCCATGTATATAGCATTCTAGTTGCTAGAGGAATTGGTCTTTCATAAATTATGGAAGTGCATTGCTGCCATCAAGGGAAAAAAAATGTGTTACCTTGTAATTAGAAGATAGTACATTACATACAGTACGTAATTACGAGTATAGAAATGATCTGTATGAACAACCTCTTGCTTTGCGCAATGACAACACCTAGAAGCTACTGAGAGCCCAGATGGAACCGTGGGTATAATTTTTGTGACAATGTTCAGCAATGCAGAATTTTCCCAGACTGACTTTACTCACAGTGAAATGTTGCAATCTGTTTCTAATGTGAACACAATCATTATAACACTTGCACATATCCTTAAACAAGAATGAGTGTACCATGCAATTGCTTCCACTGCTTAAAACTTACTGTGCCTAAATTATGACATTTGTGCTATTGTGTGATTATCACATAAAGTGCGATAATTTACTGTCTTATAATTATGAGATAATATACTATCTTGTAAAAACGAGATAACTTTCACGTAATCACTAGATAACGTTAAATTTTTCTTTACTTGATGGTAGCAACGTGCTTCCGTAATAAATAGCCCTTCATTTGCTCGTCTATGGACAGCATGCTTGCTCCATTGTACTTTTTCGACAATCAATCTGTATAAACCTATGCACATTTTGCACATATTTTATTGTTTTTACAGAGATTATGATCATCACATTTTGCATACACCTATGTATTTATTTATTTTGTTGTCTTTTGTTTTATAACTATTCTGATGTCTGTTTTTGCTTGTCTAGGGCTGGACTGCTGTAACACATCAATTTCCCTACGGGATTAATAAAGTATTATCTATCTATCTTATCAACTTTTAAAATAAAGTTACTGCTAATACCTGCTGTAATACTATGAATTGTGACTTTCTGTGGCTCTATGGGAGGTGTAGTGACCCAGATTGCACGTCTTTCCTTTCTCAATGCAGGTAATAGTACTTTATCAACCACAGTTTGGACTATCCTCCCTACACCCACACAGAAAGTCAGTTGCAAACAGCCTGCCTTTTAAGACGATGTATAACTGCTGACGAGTCCATCGCAGCCTCTGTCTGGCCCAAGACAGTCGGGTGTGACGTCTAGGAGGTGTAAACAGAGGGCCTCTGACAGGTCGCCTTGCTCAAAGGCCAGCACATGGAGCCTCACTGTCCTGTCACTGATGTGGACATTGTGTCTGCCGGCAGGTTCAGCAGCAGTACCGGTGTCAAATCTTAAATTATCTCTCAGGTGGACCAGTCTGATGTGTCTGTCCTGCTCTGGTGTGGTCATTCGAGGGCAACCGGATCTTGGACAGTTGTCTGTCCTGCAGGTCTGCTGAAACCTTCTCTGCAGTTGGGACACAGTGGAGCGGCTTACTCCATAGTGTCTGGCAACGCTGGCACATGACATGCCTGCCTGCAGGATTCCAGTGGCCCTCTCTCTTGCTTCTGGTGACATTCGAGACATTATA